CTCGATTCGAAAAGTTAAATAGCCGTAGCATCTTTGTAGACAACCAAATTAATTTACTTTTGTGTTTTAACATCATTTTTTAACTTTGTTTTGGTCAATTTGATCGTCCACACCGATAGACAGTATTCAGAAAGAGACAGAGAGAGAGAGAAGAAGGGAGGAGTAGATCTTGCGAGAACTTCCGGGCGGGTGAGAATAGCCACTTTCATAATAATATAGAGATTCTAGCTTCTAAATATACCTAACTCTAATTTTGAACTATAATAATTATCTATCTAGATATCTAGATCTAGATGTAGATGTAGATCTAGAGATCTAGGTTACTCTAATCCAACTACACACACAGTGCTCGTCTGCTACCTCTACTTTCAAGACTTAAAATTTAAAAAGTAGGCCTACATTTATATACTATCCATCATGACCATGCCCACTCAACTAACCCCATTCATTCATGTCATCAAGGAATTAATAAGAGACATAAACCTAGATCTAGATCTAGATACGCATATATAGATCTAGATCTAGATCTATATATAAACATGGCCTTGACTGATAAACAGAGTGACGACCTAGCCTAGAATGACATAAATATTTTCAGATCAGCTCTGACTCTGCTGTGCCTGCCTCCTGGACTCCTGGACATTGGCCCACTGGCCATTGGGTTGATGAATCATTGACAGATTAAATTAACTTCTGAACTATCAAATTGCATACACCACTTTTTGAAAGAAACGCGTTGCCCGTGGATTCTTTTCTCAGTTACAAATTGACTGAACAAACTTACCAAACTCACAACCGAAACACAACACACTCACTAGAGTGAGTTGTCGAACCTCTCAAGATTCTATCAACTCTTTTACGAATGAGGTTGACAACTGCTCCAAGAGAGTTGAAAAATTATTTTACGATTACAAATTGCTTCAAAGGTTCGATACTATGGCTATGGGGCGGGAACGATACCAAAGAGTCTACATAACAAGAGGGGCCACTCCTCTCTTTGAGCCAATTAAAAAAGTGTCCTCAAAATTCGATGGCGCTCTCTTCGCAAATGCGCACCCTTTGCGAATAGAGTTACCCAACTTGAGTTTAAAAAATCAAAGTGAAACGAGCAAGTTTTTTAATACATTTCGAAGAACGCTTTTTTTTAATGGTTACGCTGACAAAAAATCTGTTCCAGAGGAAGGGGTGATTGTTTTCTTCGTTTAATTTGACTTTAGAATGAAAGGCGAGAGGTCATTAGGCCAAAAATATTTTTAAAAACCAAAAACTCCGCACTGAACGAACCCGAACTGCTGATGAACAACAGTCGATCTGCGCACGCAAGGAGGTGCTATTCCTATTCTTCTACTGGAAAAACGAAAGAGAGCTTCAAAACAGACTGCAGCGCCATCTGAAGCAAAGAGCGGACTTCCGGCGGACACTTTTTTGGCTGAGTGGACCATCTTGTTATATACTATCTTTGACGATACTATAGGCCTGTTCCTGACGGTCAGAGACGGTTACTCGGTTAGTATAAAAATAAAAGCAAAGATAGTATCTTTGGTATAAATATACTATAAGAACGTGGCCTGTTCATCTTTGCTGTTCCAGAGGTAGGCTAGTTTAGGCCTAGTCACAGAATTCTAAGCGTAGAATTCTGTGGGCCTAGTGAAGAATCTTTCGTTCCAGCAGGCTATTCTAAGAATAACCTGCTCCCTCCCGAGGTGTGCGCGAACAGCTTTCGTTGAGGAGGAACATTGTATTTTTTTTTTAAAAACTTGCAAAAAATAATAGCAAAACAACCCTCTTGATTAAAAAACTATAAACAAACACGGAGAGAATATAGAGGTTTGCCAAAAAACAACAACACTATATTCTTAATGAGAACTTGCACCATTGTATACAGGCTTCTTTTTTTTTTTTTAGAGCATAATCCAAACAGAAAAGATTGGCGAACGATGATACGAGGTTGAATTGGTGAGGAAATTGCCTCCACTGATAACCTAAAATAAGTGTAGTCTAGCCTGCCCCGTCCAAACAGTGCCCCTGCCGGTCAATATCAGTCATATGAAGGAAATTTCAAAACTGAGTTGACCTTTTTTTTTAAAAACTATCAAGTAAATGACCATATTTGACGAAAATACAGAACTTTTAATTGTTTGAGGTGAGGAAACACGAAAAGGAGACAGAAAATGGCCTTCGAAGTTGAGCAACGTGTTTCCTTAGCAATGGGGGTCTTAGAATTGAGATAGAGACTTGAAATTTAGCAGTTAATTTGGCAATGCAACTGCAAGGTAACATACAGACGTAGAAAACTATTCATTCGTAGAGAAAAAAATTAATTATGGGCAAACAACATTTTCACGAGAATGGACTTCACATCAAAAGCAACAAAATATTAGCATTATACTAGGTATCAGATACTAAATGTTCAAAGTAGCTGAATGTCAAACTCATTTGTTTCATATGGAACGGCCTGTGTCTCCTGAGAATTTTGGTACCATACTTTTACCTCTCAGTCAATGTTTAAGAGAATGGCAGCTGTTTCAATTTAACATAATAATCAAATATTGCTGAAGTCACTAACTGGCTGCAACCCCATGTTTTACAGATAATAAAAGAGTACCAAGTGTACCAAACATATCTACATTAACAAAGAAATGAAGCTTAATTTTTTCAGACTGTGAGATCATCACAAATCAGTATTAAATTTGTATTGCCTCAAACACGATGATCTGTCTTATTTCAATTATAATAAACATGTACCGAGCTTGTCTCGGCCGGTGCCGTACCAGCCATCGCGGCGAGCGAGTCGACTCTATACTGTAGTGTACTGAGTGCTCCCGGTAGTTTCGCAGAAGGTGAAGGATTCATCATGCCAAATAATTCCAAGTCGATGACTTTATTCTAATGGCAAAAGAACTGTTTCTTCTATTGGTACCCTTTTTTAGCGGTATTTTCAACTTTTCGTGTTAAAAATGTTCTTTAAAAACTTAGACGCTTTTTTCAAGGTTTCTATCCAAACGCCAAGGCCAAAAATTAATAACCATACGGGAAACCACGCTTATTAAAGATGTATAGTTCCCCGCCAATGAAAAGACGGTATTTAATCATCAATCTTTGTGCAAAGCATTCGAATGCATGGGTGTCAATTTTGAACCGGCCCGCCTCGTATTCCTACCGCGAGGGGCTTTCCTTTCCGCGGCGATTCTCCAACTCATACTCGGATTATAATGTACAAACTTACACCATTGTAACGAAGGCTGAACTTTTTCAAAGTGTTCAGCTTTTGGTGTTTATAGCAAAAGAGCAAAGAAACAGATCTGAATTACCCCCATTTTACCGAAACCACACGCCCGAAAGGCCGCGAGTGGACGTGCCGTGTTTGCGCTACCTAATTATACGTTTGCAATAGCATCATAAACATACGAGAGCACACACACACACACACAAACACACACACACACACACACACACACACACACACACACACACGCACAGACACACACATACAAACACACCAACACATGCCATGCACATAGACCGCCTCGCTGACCTCTTGGTAAGGAGTCCGCTCTGAGAGATCGAGAGGAAGGTTAATTAATCTTTTAAAAGCACTAAAACACAATAAAAACAACGAATTTTTAAAGTCAACCCAAGTGTAAAACTGAAAGATCAAGAGAGGATAACAGCTAACAGGGCACACCCACAGTCAGCTGTTTAGGTAAACGAGCTTGAAGTCAGCTAGAAGTTACAGTTTTTACTCCGTTTTACCAATCAGAGTTGTCTATATTTCATACCATTCATGCTCGAAAAGGGGTCAAAATCTTTAAAAAAGTTGCGAATGAAGAACATTGAAGCAAAGATACTCCAATGTGGAGTATACTTTGTTGAAGCGAAGGTGGCCGGTAATGGTTCTCAAAATAATCTCACAGCTTCACACTTGCAGAGTCCAAATTCCTTTATCTCGTCACCCAGGATCACAACAAACCACACATGCCTCCAAAATAAATCAAAATAAAATATTTATAGTTGATTAAAGCTGTTTATTTTCATCTCATATATGAAGCAGAAGACATCAGACTTTCAATATACCCCCCCCCCCCCCCCAAAAAAAAAAAAAAAAAAAAATTCCATGGAAAGTCAATTTTGCCTTTCGAGCCTAGATCTAGCTGATAATAGAACAATGCGTCTTATGACTGATATTGACCGGGACAGTCTTTTCAAATGCTTACAAGAAGTAATTTAAGATTGTAACATGTAACATCTGTCTCTTAATTATTATAATTTTAAAAGATTATTTTGTTTTTAATCATAGGCTATATATCGCAGCATTTCCAAGTCTTGACGATATTATTATTGCCAGCTGAAAATGACAAATTTTGTACAAAACACAGAATTCTACACTTAAGTGTAGAATTCTGTGGTATAAAATAAACGAAATACGGTCGTGTAATTGTGCCTATCACAGTGCAGTCAAATAATTAAGACAAAATGATACAAACTGCTGTCCAAAGTACAAAACAATGAGTGACAATATCATCCACCCGTTAAATAGATATTTACGAAAAAGTTGCAACACGAATTTTTGACCGCACTACTATAAGACCTATATTGGGGTGGAGGTTGTGAAGAATCATCTATTGTGTCTAGGATTTGAAAAATGTAATAAAAAGAATTAAACTGATGGGAAAAAAATATCGACGAGGATGGGATTCGAACCCACGCGGGGAGACCCCAATGGATTAGCAGTCCATCGCCTTAACCACTCGGCCACCTCGTCTTGCATGACAACGCGAACTGATAATATATAATGTAAGTATACTGTAATTGTACTTCTTTTGATCAAATGTTCGTTGTTTCAGATCATTTTGTTGCTATAATAATGTCAGCATTTCATTATATATATGATCTGATTTTATTTTCTATTCAGAGCTCTCACTTTTGTCATTTTCATCTTACGGTTTTTCTTTTCGTGTCATAGACATGTTTTTGAAAAGTTGACTTCCGTTTGAGTCGTTGTCAGGGACGCATTTGCATCCTCGAACTCGGAAGTGAAGTCTCTCAACTTGTTTGTGAAGCCCTCGGCCGAGCTCGAGTCAAATATACAATATTTTGAACGATGGCAGACGAAAGTAAGGGCTTATTTCTACTCTTTTGATAAGTCAATTAAAAGTAATCCTAGGAAAGAAATCTCATTAGACGTTGAAAGTTGATGACGATCTTGCTTTTACTTTTAATTCTGGGTTCAGAGTCAGACTGAGTTGTAACTGTGCTGTCCTGTGTGGGCTTTGAGAACGACATTGTATGATGGCATGAATAAACAACAAAATTTAAGAGGATTTGACTGAGTAAAGAAGTGAATATATGACATCTAGTGGCACCAACCAGCCTTCCAAAACAGTATTAATTACTTTACTTTACATTACAATTAGATTTAGTTCTGGGTTCAGAGTCAGACCAGGGTAGCTCAACTGAGTTGTTTCTGTGCTGTCCTGTGTGGGCTTTATAAATAACAAATCTAAGAGGATTAGACTTAGTAAAGAAGTGAATATATGACATCTAGTGGCGCCAATTACCAGCCTTCCAAAACAGTATTAATTAATTACTTTACATTACAATTGTGATCTAGATCTAGTCTTGATCTAGATCTATATTGTTCATGCATCTATCATCTAAATTGATCTTAGAATGAGTGGACCTACATGATGTATGTGGCCTATATATTATATATTTTTTTTACAAGTTCTCCCATTCAAATTATAATAATTAGCCTACAACCATTTGAAAAACCCTTTTCATATGAGTTTTGAATCCATTTTTTGAACTGAGTAAGAATTGAGAAAATGATTTTCTCAGAGCAGAAAAACCCCTCTAGATACTAACAAGTAGATCTAGTTCGCCTTGTTCACATGTCTGTGATTTGCTTAATAAAGAAAGATCATTTTTTCATGATCACCATGCCTAAATCATCAAGACTAAAATGTACAGGGGTCAAAAACAGGGATAACTCAAACTTGTCTCGTATTATAGGTTGGAGTTATCATGGGCCTAATTTTAATAGAACATATTATGTTACTTTCATTAATTGTAATTTTCGATCAGAGCACTCCATATTATAATTGATTGTTCTGATGTTGTACATGTGCCTTAAAAGTTCAAAGACAGAGCAATTAAGACAGAGACTGGCCATGATTTTTGCTATGATTTCAAATCACAGTATCACCGTAGGAAAAGTTTTCTTGTTTTTAATATTTTGGTTTGAGGAATATTTGAAAATGATGTTTTTAAAATAGCACAGACTATATAGAGAGAACAAATTGGGTGCAATTCTTAGTTTTGAATCATGCATGTTTTCTTCGCTTTCTCTTTCACTGTAATCAGAATCCTTTACATACATTTTTCATACATGTACCTACTCTCTGTTTTGGCTCAACACCTGTATACATTTATCATCACTTAATTGTTGTGGTCACCTTGCCAACATTAGAATTCCGAGAAACTATTTCCTAGCTCCCTTACCATTACCACTTTAAATTGGCAGGTTTATTGCTAAAGTGAAGCTTTGGTACAAACATTTCCATTTGTACAGATTGTACGAAAATTGGCTTTTGCAAAGAGGAGAAAAATTACAAAAAGACAGGAATGGCAGGAAAGACATATATTTATAAAAATGCCTTGGGGGGAGGGGGCGGTGAGTGCTTTACAGCAATCGCGACTGCATTAGATCATGCGCACTGGATACATTAGCCTTATCAGTTTGGTAGGAATTAATTTTGAATTTTGCTAGGTGGTGGTCAAAGACTGCTCTAATCAATTTTTGAACCATTAAAGAATTTTTAATGGGGGCAACTTGCACATGGGACCTCCAAGATTTTTTAGCCCATATCTGAGAAGGCTAGGTGATAGATCTTACCCACCCTAAGATCAGGAGTGTGGATGAAAGACAGCAGTAAAAAAAAGCCCAAGGAGTAACTGTAGAAATGCTGCAGAAAGAGTCAGGAGCCCAGAGGAGGGGGCAAAGTTGGGGGGGGGGGGCAGAAAGTGGAGACGAAAGCAGATAACAAAACAAAGTTAGAGAGCTGGAAAGGAGGTGAAATGAGATGATTTTAGAGAAAAGAAAATTTTAGAATACAGTTTTTAGAGGTTATTATGAATCCAAGAAGGCTGTTACTCTTTCTGCTTTGTGAAGGTGAGCAGAATTCATTATTCAGTAGCAATACCATTACCACTGACACTGTTCTTTAAGTGTTCCTGATACTGTAAGAGTATAACAACCATACTTATGTGATGGGAAGATTAGTGTTGTTCTTGATTTTATAGTGTTAACCATGCTTGGTGCTGATGAAGTTTTTCATCTGTTTTCGGTGCTTAGCAACATGCATAGATAGGGAATTATAGTCAGCCATTCAAAAACCTTTCGCTCATTATGTCCTTTTCTTGATCTATATCATATTTTAGAGAGAATTTAACTATTTATAAATACTTTCTTTTATTTGTAGCCACACCTCGACCACCCACCAAAAAGGAGCCTGAAGTTTTGACAGACTCCAGCCTGCTTCTCCTAGCAAACGGTGTGGGCAGACAAGATCTGAAGGGTGTTGAATTGGCGATGTATTTGAACATTCCTACAACAACAATTGTCAGGTGCATTGGTGATGTCACAGAATCTTCCCTCACTGCTGAAGGCTCTGAGAATGACCGCATGGCTGTTGCGGCAAAATGTGTGCTTCTATGGAAGGAAATGACCAAAGACAATAAAACGAGAGAGCGTGTAAAAAGCTTAGAAAAAGCACTCAGAGAAATCGGAAAAGGTGATGTTGCCGACACTTTTATGGAGCGTCACAGCAATAACCAGGAGCTGTCTAATGATATCTTTGCTTAGAGCAAACTTTTGTTGCAGTGTTTCTCTTGTATATTTTTTTTTCTTTTGCAGACAAAGGGTAGGATGATTGCTTTAATGTACATGTGTTCATGTGAAAAGGTTTCGATGCCTTGTTCTTGGTAGTATTTTACTATCCTTCATGTTAAGCATGGTGTTGCCTTCATTTCTCTTTAAGTACCAAAGTCTGAGAAGTATGTTATGATATTAACAAACTCAATAGCATTCGCATTAAATGTACATGTTTTTAGTGTTTAAGGAATCTCCAAATTTTCACAATAAAACATCAAGCAAACCAAAATGTAATATCATGAAACTTCAGTACTTATTTTTTATAGAGTATTTTATCAGTGTGTTTTACCTTGCTACATAAGCATTATTGAGCATATAAAATCATCTTCTAGTATTTTTCTGTACATAATACATTTGAGTATGTTAAAAATATTTATAATAAAATTTTGAGATAATGTACTGCGTTAAGATTCACTAATTTCTTCAGTTCTTTCTTCAGTTTTTTTAAAATTACATTTTTTAGTAAGAGTTTTACTGTGCTCGCAACTGCATGGTCATATGAGCGTGTGGGACACATTAAACATTTTCAGTAGGTAGGAAATTTTGAATTTTGCCCGGGTGGCGGCTGAAGCCTACTCTTATCCATTTTGGACCACCAAGGGATCTTTAACGTTCACAACTTGCACACGGGACCTCCTAGACTTTTCGTCCTTGTCCGAGAAGACTAGGTGTAGATCTTTCCTACCAGAAGATCAGGGGTGTGGCTGAAAGACAGCAGAAAGGAGCCAAGGAGTAGCAGTAGAAAGGCTGTAAAAAGAGATAGTATCCCAGAGAAGGGGGCAAAGGGCGTGAGGGGAAGGGGGCAGAAAGTGGGAACGAAAGCAGACAACAATTGTTGCTAGAACAGGAAAGGAGGTGAAAGGAGACAATTTTAGAGAACAAAAATTTCTGTTGCTATCTGGATTCAAATCTGAGAGGCGAAGACCTTAACTTTTGGCCTTGAGAGCCCCCTCTTACTTAAGAGAGTGTGAAACTGTCAACAGAGATATGAAAAAGGACAGCAGAATTGAATCACTGTAATATATTGCTGCTGTTTCATCCATACACTCATACTGTAAATTTTGCAGTCATCGTCCTTTTTCAGTGTATGCTTCAATTTAAGGACTCGCCTAGCATCCTATAGGTCTGGGGAAAATGATGAAATGGTATTGGTTTAACATCCCTATCAACACTATTAAGTTATTTAAGAGGCGGACCTCTGAGTTTAATGTCTCTCTCCGAACAGACCGAGCCAAATGGGAAATTCTTGTAAAGTGCTTTTCCCAAGGACACAATGTCGGACCGAGCTGAGGCTCAAACCTTCGAACCATGTAGGTCTAGTATTGGATAAATTATTCTATCTGTATTTAAAGGGTCTGAGTGAAGAGTATCATTGAACAGAAATCTGTTTAGAATGACATCTTCGTTTCTTATGGCATACTATATTTTTCTTACTCAGCCTGGGTTGGTCATGACAGGCACGTTCAAATCAGACTGGCTTTGAACAAATTAATTTGTTTTGATGATAAAACTTACTCATGATGCACACTTTAAAAAAGCACATGTACATAAAATACTACTGAAAGAGTGACTTGATTTTTTAAAACATGTCCACGGACAAAATTAATCCGCGGCTCAGAGAAAATTTAGGAAGCAGGCTGCAACAACACTGCCTGTAACTTAAGAGACAATGCAGGTTGAGCAGGATACACCATCCATGAAGAAAGGCAAAAACTTTATATAATTTCTTGTTCTTCATGTGGAAATAGAACTCACATCTTTTGTATGTATGGCAAAGAGCCAAACCTGTACATGTCACAGATCACAGCCTGCTGTTCTTTAAAAGAGGAACCCTAATTTATCATCGGTTTTGATAGAACCTAGCCGAGAGATGTGAATGGAGAGCCTTGAAAAATCAAATAAGTGAAGTCCAAGAATGGCCCAGTAGACATTTGAGCCTGGGTCATTCGCACAACTGAGCAGCATGAAAGTTGAAAGTACCACTCAAGCTACAAGCAGGTTATTTTTGTGAGTCAAGAAGCCATTTTGTCTGCTTTATTTTTGGATGTCAAGTTTCATAGTGTCTGTTTTTTCCCCCAGCCCAGATCGACCAGTTTTAAGGGGAAATAGTAATTTAAGTAGTCCTTAAGTACTGGAATTGCCATTCTTCTCTATCTTAAAAAAAAGGAGACACTTAAAAGGTTCAACTATTTACCTTTCACCCTGACTGGAGGCAACAGTTTATGGTACAGAACTCTGAGCCAGTAGCTTGTGACAACACATCTTGTTGAAATGCTTATTTCCATTTGATAAAGCAGTCCTATTAATGATTTGATACAGAAATTCTGAAAACTAAGTTTGGAAGCAAAATTAGCAATACAATGGTCCAAAACATGTTTTTCAGACCACAGTTATTAAAACAATGTCCTGACAAGAGTCACCCCTGCCTGATTATTGGCCATATGGAGGGCTTCATTGCTTATAACTTGCAGAACAGAGACCTCTGATCGAAAGACTGAATGAGGAAAGTCATAGGTACAGTAGTGAGTAGCTCAGATTGTTCTCATAAATCCAGGAAAAACATTAATGTCAAGAGCTGATGTTGGACGTACACGTTTAGACACTGTCTCAAATATAGCAAAGGGTGGATGATATAAATAATGACTGACCAGCCACTGAAAATAAGATCACGTCAAACAGTTTTACTGATCAGTAAGATCAATTTATTAATTTAACAAGAATGAAAAAAATTTACATGAAATTCAATTATTACAATTACAATGCTGTCAATTCTGCAAAAGTCGATTCTTGTCATCAATAGTATGAAATAGTGACAAAGATTTTCTGGCACCTTTGAAATATGTTTACTAAGGTACAATAAAAAACTGGGTGGGTAACACTGCATTCTCCAACCATGACAAAGCCAGATTGTTAAATAATACATTATTCTAATACTTTAAAAACAGTATTTAAGACCCAAGTGAATACATGTCTACGACATAAAAAATATAAATCATCATTAAAGCGGGATGCCACAAAGTTCAAGCCAATATGTCTAACCCCCTCTCCAAGAAAAAAGGTACATAAAGCAAGACAAAGTATGAAAAAAGTTCAACAGCTGAGGTATCCAAAACTTTCACAGGACTTTCAGAACTCCAGAAATCTTAAAAGGAAAATAGCACCTCTAACAAAGTCTATTCTTCCCGTGATGCTCTTTAGAACAGTGGCACTTTCCTTAACAAATCATGATTAATCTATGAGGAGTAATGAAAAATTTACTTTTGTGTAAATATTGACTGCTTAGTGTAAGACTTCACCATATGCCATTTTGAAAAGTGACGTATGACGTAGTCTTGCACTGAGCAATCGATATGGTGTACAAATGAGCCAATTGCATATTTATGCTCAGAATAATTCAGACAAATAATATAATAAACAATGGTCTCTGCCAAAGACCTGCCTTCATAGTGAAATACCAGGAGACCAAACAAGTAGGATTTAAAAGAATTACGGATAGAGGCCTCTCTGTTGTTTACAGAAATAAGGCTCGTGAAGTGATGTTCTTCTAGAGACGTTAGCAAGAGTTAGAACAGCAGATCAGAGAAGAAAAAAGAGAGCCAAAATAAATGTAAAGTGTTTATGAGCAGATATACAGTGAACAGAGCAAAAAGAGAGAATAAAAACCTATTGAGAAACAACTCAACATAAACTGGTCGGGTCTTGAAGTGCAAGGGTGTGGATTTGCAACTGATGTGGGTCAAAGTTTTATCTTTACCATTTTCATTTCATCCAATAAAAATAGAGAGAAATGAAATCTTTCTCTTTAATATATAAACTGCAATGGTAGTTTGCATTTTCTTTTATAAAACTTCACTGTGAAAAGTCACTAAAATAAAACCTTAACTTATTCATATCTAGGTAGGACATGAGAAGTTGATGTCAAAATCCAGACCACAGCCCTTCGGCTTCATTCATATATACAGATATAACCCTTTTTTTGGACTGCACACCACACATGGCATCCAAATAACTATGGTATAATAGTCATGATGCCTTGGGGAAAAAGCTGAGTAGAAATAGGAAATACATGTAAGGATAAAAAAAACCCTCAGACTTGCAGAAAACTTTAACTCGTGGAACAGAATTCCAAGCAAACAAGAAAAATATAAATCAGACAAATGAAGACACAAACAGAAAAGTACACTGTGACACTGAAAACACAAGCTGGGAAGGGAGTCAAAATTCTTTAATGAAGCAAAAATATAGATTTGCAAGTAACAATGCTGTACTATTATAAATAAATTGGGAAAAAAATGACACATCCCCGTCACAAAATTTAAGAACATCATGACCAAGAGACCTCATATGCGAGAGTATTTCACGATATACAATACATTTTGTGTCAACGGCGTTGTAATGGAATTTCCTAGAGGCTGAATGTATTAATTTGAACATTCAGCTTGGGTGAGCAGCCACGTGTAGCAGCGGTAATTTTCTTCAAAAACTTAGACCATCTGAAAAATTATGCAACAGTGCATTTACTTCCACACATACAAGTCGTAAGTTCACAATCAAGCCCTGGAACTAATTATTTTTATTTGAACTGACACTCTACCAAAATTTTATACTCACACTTACAGAACTGAAAGAGATAATGGCGTATTGTACTGTAAAGATGACTAAGACTCTAGACCTAAACTGGCAAGTTTCACAACTTCCAACAACATGCTTTTGTTTGCCCAAGAAGTTTCTGTACCACCAAGTTTTTATCTTGGCTGGCCAGAGTGCTTGATTTTTACACTTTGTAATATCGAATATGGCGTTGTGAAGTTGAGTCAAAACTGTCAAGACACTATCAAAAGAAAGAGATTTAAAAAAATCTAGAATGGCAGTAACATTTGCCAATCATCCTCAACCATAAGGCTGCTAAAAACACCACTGACTAGACAGCCTCTTACAATTCCTAATTATGCCTGGGAAACATGATGCATTCTGTTCCTCTTTCAATGGAATGAACTTTTTTAGGAAAGGATGGGGAAGGAATCAAAGATGGAGAGTAAACGAAGGATACAATGAATGTCAATCAAGACCTATCTGGTCTCAAGGTACACATCGGACACCTAATTCACAGGCAAAGAATTGAATACAACCCTGTACCCATCTTTTTCATTTGTTCTCAATGTGACTACGTACCACTATGACTGACTGCTGCTTGCACTTGCCGCATAACACGATATATATCATGAAACATATCCTAATTTGTGTCTACCACATCTGAGAGATTCAAATGATGCTGGCTGTTGAAATCTTTGACATTCCTGTAGTCAAAATAAAGGCACTTCTATTAAAATACTTAAAACCTATGCCCTCATCTACAGTCTCCGATTGGTCGTAGAGATCCAACTCTTCAACCTCCGAAGGCCCTATTTGTTGGTTTTTCCCATGAAATTTCAGAAAATAGCCTTAATAAAAAAACCAAAATTATATTATTTAGAACAGTTGTATATTGTTTTTCCTCATACAGATTTCCACCAAAAAAAAAAAGGTTCCATCAGGGCTCAGGGAGAACACAGAGATTTTGCCTCTAGAGGATTTCACTTCAGCAAGCTGAACTGAATTCTAATTTCTAATTAAGAACCCTAACCACAACAAGCAGCTTCAGTTGCAGATGAAATATCGTGATCATGTTTGTGAAACAGCATAGAAATGACATTGATGATCGGTTAACGAGTAATACATCCAGCAGCATGTGCATTAACATACACCAGTAAAACAAGAGATGTTTGAAATGACCATACATAATATGGTAATGAATCAGGTTGTTGTTGTTTTCGATCCAGTAATGAATCAGGTAAATGGCACATTCAAACACATACAACGCATGACAAAATAAGTCAACAACCCCACTAATGACAAACCTTGAGTAGACAGACTTCAAAACAGCCATATCTCAAGTGCACACTTAAATCTGAAACCGGAGGCTAGGCTTTAGATTCGTTTTTGCCTAATATACACAATGGAAAATGCAGAGTTCATTGCTTCAACAGTTACTTTCGAGTATTATTCTTCAAAACGTATAATGTGTAAGGCCTGTGGCCATCAACATGATATCAATAGAATCTATGCTCTGCTCAAAGGCAAAAACTATGCCATGTGAAAAAAGAAAGAAATCTATGGAAATTATAGTTGTTCAGTAGCAATTGGTAGAGAATAAGTTCAATCATGGCCACAATCCACTCAGCATCAACTAGAACAGCAGTAACATTTGCCAACCATCCTCAACCATAAGGCTGCTAAAAACACCACTGACTAGACAGCCTCTTACAATTCTTAACTATGCCTGAGAAACATGACGCATTTTTGTTCAAATTATGGAACATTAAGTAAAACTACTCTATCTTTAATGTCCCAAGCTGCACAAATTACAATATCATTATTCAACCGGGAATTGTCAACAACAGGACAAAAAGAATACGTAAATGTCTCCCTAAATTACAGCACATGGCTGTCCGACTGTATTTTGACAATAAAACAGTCTGAAACTTTCAAAGGGCAGACAACAAAAAGATATCAAAATGTTTGGGTCTATGCGAGCATCAATGAGAGGTCACATTAGCTTTGGCCTATCAATTTGGCAACACTTCAGGCTTTAAACAATTAAACAAGACATTTATTATTGCCTTAGGAAGACCTCTTTATAACACTAGTTTTTTTTTCATCCTAGAGCTAGTACAACAAGGTTTGACTGTATTTTTATAAGTACAAAATACACATAATATATTCTGTCAGTCTCAAACACAAAGCAGCATTTTGTGGAAGGAGACCAGATTTCCAGAAAAAAATGAACTTTTATGAACGAATTTAGTTTTTTTCACATTTCAATCTAAATCTAATCCTGAAGTCTCCTGCTAAGAAAAAAAGATGGAAACTTTATATATATATATTTCAGGTGCCCAAACATTTTACAAGCAAATGATGATAATGATAAATAAGACAAGGCATATTTCATTCACATTTTAAAACACATGTCATGTTCGAGGCAAGTGAAGATGATAACTAGCATAATAAATATTACGATATGAGCATGTAGTAACAAACACTATGGATTATTACAATATGACTGCTCATGAGTGAAACGAAGGCAGACTAATATAATTTCTAGTATAACTCGTAAACTAGTATGCTTTTTTAAATCAATAAAACCCCAATACTCATTTAACCGCACTCCCATTTTTCAAATCCCAGAAAATGCAAAGTTTCAGCTCAGAAAATGTTTAAGAACAAAAACCATTTCCTTTGAGTAAACTGATTTAAAAGATAGATTAAACAAAGAAAACAGTAGGGAAAGAATCATGAAATGCCATAACCTGACAAAAAAATTGGATCACTTCCTCAATGCCAGTAAATTTCAACCCAAGTATCCCCATTCTTTTAGCAATGCAGTTATGGAGTTTTGTGTCTTGCGTTGAAAGAATAAACTGCATAGTGCCAGTAAGGGGAATCAAATTTAAAATAAACAAAACAATATATGGATGTGGACGGGAGACTTTAATGCCTTGCGAGCATTGAAAAGGGAACATACCCATAGTATACAAGAAACTCAATATGGGACAAAGGGTAACAAGTCATTCCCTAAACCCAGTCAACAGAATGGAGGCAACACTGAGAGTCCATGCACATAATATTAATATATTCTAGAAAAGTAGTCATTGTAAAATTTATGCCAAAATAAGAACACGGTAGAAATCCACTAGCCCCCAACAGATGAATGTCAAAGATCACGGTGTCGAATGTTCACATTTCTACTTTCACAACAATTGCTTGTTGTTTATATTTACACCAGGGGTCTCACACTCAAATTGCCAGGGGGGTTGCTGAGGGGTTAGAGTCTGCCCCCCAAATCAAGTATTCCACACACGAAAAAAGTTTCAACTATTCCACACACGAAAAAAGTTTCAAATATTTTTTTTCTCCTTTTAAAGTATAGCTGATGTAATCTTGATCTTTAAATAACAGGCAAAATCTATAAGAATATGCATACATCAATAGCAACACCCTGGCAAAAAAGGTGTGTGTGAGACAAAAGTGAAGGCAGCACTTACCCTAAACTTTAATGTCAAGAGGGATTTGCAAAATATCATCTTGCAGGCTGCAATAGGCCAGCGTGCTGCAAGTTTGAGACCCTTACTTTACATGATTCTTTACACATTTACTCAATATGTACCATAAATACACAGTGGTGTTTGATGTACACTTTCCAATATTTTCAGTCTTCAAAGAAAAGATTACAGTATGGTAAAAGGCAATTTTCATTCTTTCATATTCCATGGGTCTCAGCTCAGAATTTTTAAAAAGGAGGAACTTTCCGCGTGATCGCGACAGAAGCCCGTTTTCGCGAGACACCCACTATTATTATACCATTGGACCCTAGAATGTTGAAATAAAAACCACCAATTTATCAAAGCAAGGTTATTTTATACCAGTTTGAGGGTTTGGAAGATAATTTCAAGTAAGAATCACTTACCAAATATGTACAATCTTGATTACGTACAGAAAGTGGTGTCGCACTGTGGTCTTGTGCGACTTATATTTTACCTTCATCATATTCGCCTGCATATATAAACAAAATAAAAATGAATCTTGTTTTGAGCCTGAGAAAAGGCCTAAAACCAGAATATCGACTGTCAAGAACCAGTCTGGTTGTAATGATTCATATAATAAATGTGAATGACAAAATTAATGCTCAAACTCAAAGTAGAGTAATAACTTGAATAGCTCAAGTAGACCTATTCAGTGTGAGAGGTGTAAGAACTGTGGGAGGGCAAGATGCAGTGACACTGAAAATCTGCGAATCTTGAACAAAAAGCTAAAACCAAGAGACATAATTTACTGTCACCCATCCAATGAAACACGAACACTTAGGCCCCTGCCCTAAGTTTATTAACACGCTTACGAGTAGTTATTTGACGGATCCCGACTATACACAAGGCATGCACCAAAGCGCACTTTACTTTGCTAAAATTTGCTTCCAATTTCTTTTCTTTATTTGTCCTCTGGTGTTGCGTCCACCCCCCCCCCCCCTTTGCTAAAATTTGCTTCCAATTTCTTTTCTTTATTTGTCCTCTGGTGTTGGGTCCAGCCCCCCCCCCCCTCCCGAGTGTATCTTTTTAAAAAAATCAATTATCTCCCCCATTCCGGAGTCCTGTGCTTCACAGTGCTCAGAACGCGCGCAGGTTCATTGACCGGTCACAATGACCAGCCCGACAAGACGCTTGTATAACTTTCTTCTTTCCCCCCCCGCCCCCCCAACAAGCGACAGCACAGTTACGAACATTATTTTCATGGCGACACCACGTTTGTAATGCAGAACCTGCATGTTACAAATGTTACGTTATCAGACTTTTACTGACAAATTTCTGAGATCTTGATTTTCCGGTCGAGCCTCGGTGTCACATACAATTCCGCTTGCCGCCATAGCTGCCTGTTCGCGTGAAACGTACTCTCAGACCGGGAAAAGACGAATTAATATCACAATCGCGACCGGCAAAAATGAACTTAAAGACGTTATCGGATTTGGTTTTCAAATAATATTCGAGATCTTTTATGTACTTTCTCGCGTCTCGGCGATTTTTTGCAAATTCCCGAGGCCTGGCAGCCACTCTGCTCCCAGCAACTCTCTTTGTGATCGGCCCGCTATCGCGGTAACGGAGTTTAGCGGAGGAAATGGCGGTAGCGGAAATCCGCTAAATAGCGGAATATTGAGACCCATGTTATTCCCATCATTATTTCAAATATGTACACTTTCAACCCACATATCAGAAAACAGCAGGGGATAGCCATATCTTTGCATTGCAAGAACAGCTAAGGGCCAGTGTCACAGCCCAGAAAGTTAAAAATGAAACCATGTCTTGAGACATGAGCAGAAGCAGAGGTCTCCCATTAAACAGTTCTGTCAGAAGACGGTAAAGGTCTCATCTTTGCACAAAACTAACCCTAATGGTCCCATCCTTCTTAACTCTTTCCACTGCTACTCCTGGCTCCTTCTTACTGCTGTCTTTTAGCTACATCCCTGATCTCAGAGAAGGTAAGATTGAACATCTAGCGTTCTCTGATAAGGATGAAAATTCTTGGAGGTCCCATGTGCAAGTTGTGCATGTTAAAGATCCCTTAGTGGTCCTAAAATCAATAAGAGTAGGCTTTGGCTGTCACCTGCGCAAAATTTCAAAAATAAATTCCTACCAAAACTAAAAATATTCTAGTCCCTATAAAAAATATAGAGAACCTTTGAAATTGGAAAGTGGCAACCTGAAGGCAAGGGGCCCTGATAAGTAGGAAAAACAGTCACATACGTAAAAATCAGTTGCACTGCAGGTTGAAGAACCAGTAGTCGACTATCCCCGAGATCTTGCAGGGGAACACAAAGAAGAAGTCCATCAAAGTAAACTGAAAATTTTATCATCAACAATACCATCTTATTAATTTAATCAATGTACATTAACCGTCTCCCCGTGAACCATTCCATAGTCATTAACATTCTCATATTCATAGGCTGTTGGCCAGATCATATGCAATAAAATCATCGTATCGTACATTCTAAAACCTGTGTTATCACTGTAGTGACAAGTCAACAGTCAAAGTATACAAATTTTCTCATCACTAATGGTTTTATCAGTCTCATGAAATGTTCCAACTTTATAGATTGAAAATGAGAGCTTCTTCACTGCTGTTCTCAGAACTATCTGCTGGCATTCTCACCACCACGGTGCTTCCTATCCCTGCTGTTTCATCATGAATGCTTTTGATGGGCATCAATAATTGAGTTGTTGAGGAATCTGCCAAAACAGAGAGATCAAAATCCTTAGAGATGGGGAAAACACAGTATAGCATATCTTAATATTTAGAAAAATAGAGATTATTGACTCAAGGCATGCTAGATTACAGCTGATTTGCAGAAGGATCATTCAGTGACTTAAAAAAAAATGTTAGTCAATGTATTTCATTACCTTAAACATTTTTATTTAATCCTTTTATTGCATTTTCCTGGAAATTGCAACAGAAAAGTAAACAGAGGCTTACTTTAAATTGAACTCGTCACAGAAAACAGATCGGCTGTATATTTCCCTTCTGAGGATGCTTTGAGTCAAAATAAGTCTACAAAAAGTAAAATGATCCAAAATAAAACAACGGAATGACAATTTAAAAAGATGCATCCAACAGCACCCTTTTCATAACTTCATTATTTCTTACTTTACCTCTCCTCTATCTCTTTTTTCTCTATCTTTCTCAACATAACACACTCAGCTGCTTAAACATGGGACAAAAAATGAAATATGATCACAATTCTTTTTTCCCATTCGGCACAATTTATATCACACTAAAATCAGATTTCAAATTTCCATATATATAATATATATGTATATGAGGCAGAGTGCTGAAATCAGGCGTTCGTCAAAATACAGAAATTGGAGAAACAGGCAATTTTCCGAAAGTTTGGACATTTTCATCGAATTTTCATTTTTGGGCTCAAACTCTTTTATGTCCATATAAAACACATTTCAATGTGAATTTTACTTAGAAACATTTATTAAATGAAAATATAGCATTTTTCTGTTTTCAAAGACTCTTTAGCTATTAGAGTAAATAAACTTTGGCGGCCATTTTCTCACTAATTTCACCACTGAAACTAAGCGACCTCACTACCTTCAATCGCAAATATCACCAGTTCTATTCAAGATAGAAGGATATTTATTTCATTGAAAGCAAGGCAGAAAAATCAGCTTTCAGGTGATACCAAAACTCCACATGCCCAAAATTTGACGAGTGTCTGATTCCACCACGTCGTGACACATATTTGTGTGAGTGTATGTGTGCGTGGGTGGGTGAGTGTGGCCCACAAAGAAAGCGGACAATTTGAAGTTCACATAGAAGAAGAGACTCACCTGTCCAGCGGGGTAAGCTGTAGTATAAATGACACTTTGTCCATTCTGTTCTGCAAGCATTGAGCCATTCGCCAAGGATTGCACTAAAAATACAGAGGGATAACCTTTTAAAAACATATTTTAAAAATCAACAAATGAACATATTTCAATAGATATCTCTGTTCACTCACCTGACCTCTCCTGACCCCATTATGGTACACCTTCAGCCGACCCCATTATGGTACACCTTCAGGAGATGGTACACCTTCAGGAGGACATAATCCACAGCACAGGGTAACTGACAGTCCCATGTGGTAGAGTACATATATGGTTTGTTGGCGGAGTAAAATTAGTTAATCCACATCAGCCGAGGCTGTTGGTCCACAAGTGACTTCAGTGAGTCAGAGTTTGGTCATTAATTAAGTGAATATTCAGCTGTCATGGCTGCCAACAGTTTGTGGACTAAATAAAGAAGTGATTCAGGACATAAAGACATGAGGCCTGTGGAATTGCATTGTTGTAAAGAAACATTTTTAAAGATTTACTTGAAACCACTAAGAACTCATTGATTCTGTACAAGAACCTATGTATGTTGAACACTGTCATAGTTAACATTTAAATGGCATTGGATTTCAAAACAGTAGGCTTTTCCTTACAAACTTTTTATGGACCCTAGAGGAAATGTTCTCACAACCTACAAACAAAGAAGTTAAGTCTAAGACTTTTCTTTAAAAATATTGCCTTGTCTAATCACTCCACACATTTGCAAGAGGTGCAACATCATATGTGTAGCCTAGTAATAAAAGAAAGTCAAAATTATGTAACAAACTAGCTGGGGACCCTTTCGATGAAAGGAATGATTGGTGCATTAACATTAACTGAAAGTCATTGGCCTACTATATTTACACTCTAATGGAATGGAGCAATAAATCCCGAGAGATGCAAAAAATTAGTGATGTATTGATTGATTCTCTATTCCGCTTTCGAGGCTGTACACTCCAGAATTTCAAAGGTGTGGAATAGTGCGCACAGCTGTAGAACTGAAATCTCACTTGTTTACAATGGCGTTTTAGAAGACAGACTTTCCCAAGTTAAAATCTAAACGAAACGAATGAAAAACTGAAAATTAAACTAGTGACTTCAGGCTCCTCAATAGAACTGTGCACCTTTTAAATGATTCTGAACCAACATTAATTTTGTCAAATTCCAAATTTAAGTGGTTCCAAAGTTTTAGGCGGCCAAAGTGACGAATTTTCACAAATGGAATATGTATAGATTACAATCAATAAATGATGCAAAGAGATGGCAGCAAACATATTTTTTTCCTCCTGTAAACTAATATTTCTTGCACCTGATGCCTCAAATGGAATTAAATAAACAGTGACTCAGAGGCAAAAAAATATCATTAGCTTTCATATCAAGAGTAGAAGACTGCATTAAGATCTCAAAAAGGAATAAAGTAAAGAAGAGCATATGCATATATTCCACCTCATCAAAATGTTAATTTTTTAAATATTCAAGCTATGTCCACATCAGAATAAACTTTTAACACTTTTTCTGGACAACGCTTTTCTGTCCTCTACCATCCTATAAAGTGTATTGCAAGAAGCTACTTTCCTACAGTCATGAAAAACTTTGCGTCATCTGGAGCGTAATAGCTACAGTTTTATATTACAGCAGGACCATGCCTTGCCACAAAATCCACATTCAGATACACTCATGCAGGAGAGGTATAAAACAAATTTGGTAAGAATTAATGTAAGGCCACAACCAATAACAATATTATCTCACCTAGCATGTCATCTGAGAGCTCCTGTTCACTTCCATCTCCAGCAGACAAGCCTGTGATTCCTTTCTCACCTTTAGAACACTTAAAAAGAGATTGTAAAAATTGAGTTAAAAAATTGCGCGAATCGGTAAACAGTTACAATAACACAAAAACATATGTAACATAATACAACAAAACCTTCAACCATTTACTCTAATTTACAATACAACATTTTTCCACGAAGCTAAAATAAAACAAAACATTTTCTCCATGAACCTAATGAGACGGAAAAATAAACAAACAAAAACCCCCCAACAAAACACAAAAAAGCTATGAAAGCTGATTGCAAAATTAAACCTTTAGTTTTAGTAAGAGTTTTATGGCACTTGCAACACTAAACGGTCATATAAGAGCCGAAAATGTTATTATTATTATAGTAGAGGGTTTTACGGCGCTCACAACTGCATAAGGTCATATGAGCGCCAAGGGGTGATTGTCAACAGAAAAGTCTTTACAGGGAATCAGACTTACTCTGTTCACCTCTCTAGCTTCAACAGCACAAGGTCTGCTTCAACTATCAAGGCATCCCAGAAATAGCAGGTCATAAGTGTGACAAACATAGAAAAGAAGTAGAAGAAAATGACAAGTAAGGATTAGGAAAGAAAAAGCAGCAGTTCCCTGTTGTAGATCAGGCACAGTTATGAGCGTGACATGAATCAGCCCATTTACAATTCTACTGTGCTTAAACGAGAAATGTCCCCCCTTTGGAAATGGCCTTAAGACACTACAGTCAGTGGCACTGCCTCGGGGGGGTTGCCGAAAATTAGAAGTGTTACAAGAGAGTAACAAACACAAAAAAAAAGGGGGCGAGATAAAGACGATACATGTTTGATAGGAAAGAAGAAGCAAACCACACCAGAGCACCCGCCAACCACCCACAAATTAAACATTTTCAGATTATTTTTCCTTAAACTCATTGTGAGACAAGTAGGTACCAGGTTATGGTAACTCTTATAGGAAAACATTATGAATCTTATCCAGTAACAAGACAACCAACAGTTTGTGAACAGTAATTCAAAGACTATCAACTAAAACATAAAACGTGAAAAAAATTTAAAAAAAAATATATTGTCAAATGTATTACCGCATAGAGAACAATACCAACCTCACGATATTTTTGCAAATAGAGTTTCAGAGGCTCCACGTAGTTGTCAAAGCCAAGTGTAGACATTGCAAAAAGAATGTCTTCTCCGTTGATAGTTTTTCTCTTTTCTTGATGGCAACGCTCGCTGGCTCTAAGAGTTTGGTCAAAGAAAACAGTACCACAGCAGGTTTGGAAACAGCACACCATACACACACTGTCATGTAATCCAAAACACATACGTGCATTAGATCCTGAAGTAACATGAACACTAGAAATTTGCTTTTTCGTATTGGGGGTAGTAACAAAGAAAAGGAGAAAAGGAAGGGGATTTTACTGGAAACAGACAATGTTAAAACAACGTCATCGTCCTTCAGAGTCTTCTCACAGTCTTTTATCCCGCTTATTGCTACTCTGTTATGTTATCTTCGTTTATAGTTCTTACTCATCAACATTAAAAACTATCTGATAATCTCGAACTACAGACAACACATTACAGTGGAATCCACTAATAACGAGTCCTGAAACAACGAGAAGTCTGTTATAAAGACACTATTCTAAAACCCTGTTTTTTCCCCTTCTTTATCTATTCCTATCTTCAAAACAAAAAGAAAAAAAGAACATAAACTATCAGCACACATCCAGTGAAAAGGATACTCGCTAGTGATGAAGCTGATAAACTCTGACACACACTCCTGTACACACTCCTTCGCATCTTTGGCAATCTGGAAGATGCAGATACAGAGAAAATCATTAAACATATTTGAATATATGAGCCATTGCCAAAACGTGTTGGAAAACATACACATCTCACATTAGTGTGCATAAAATGTGATGCATTAGTATTTATTCCTCCAAAACTTATACACATGTCAAATATAGGATGTAGAACCTGCATTAGCAGTTTCAGACCCCATGTCAGCTTTACAATCTTGAGTTTGTAAATCTTTTGCCAAAAATGTTCGTTTTTTTTAGTGATTCCTGGAGTGTCATTTTGAGCACACCAATGCAAACTTCCTAGAATGTCCAAAATTTAGTATTTTTGGGTGTTTTACATGCTTTGATCCTATGCTATTTGTCATCGAGAAATGTAATTTGCTCAAGAAATCGGTTTATTTGTTTGCAAATAAACGAACAATTCGGATCACTTGTGCGTCAGTCGTGTCGTCACGGACTAGGTGTTTCAGAAAACTCCATTATTTTTCAGTAGAATCACCGTAGCTGGTTAAATCTTTTTGCTTTTCGTCGTTTATTCAATACTTCAAAAGCCGCGATGCGTGAAAAGAACATCGAGTTCCTAGATCTACGATTTCGGTCGGCTGTTTAACATTCGCTGTGATTGGCGTCACTTTGCGACGTACCGGAAGTCCGAATTTTAGCCTACTTTTGTTTTGAACGGATCATCAACGGTGCCCGGATATAATTATTTTCTTGAGTGACTTCCCCTTACCCGCTTCCCCAGAACAGCGGAGGCAATGGGGAAAAGAGAAAAACGAAAGTAGTCATTGCCGTCAGCGTCCGGTGACGCACAAGAATCTTACGTTGAATGTGACGTACTGGACTGTTTTTAGGCTACCCTATTGACTGTTTTAGTGAAATTGCGGTGTTTACAATGGATTCCTGGAACAAGAGTGGGATGTGTGAACAAACTTCGAGAGATGGGTCATTTCTGTTATAGATTTAGCTTTTGTGCTTAGTGATGACGTATGGGGTGTCGTCATGCAGTCGTACAAGACTGACGTACTAGAAATTACATTGTCCTAAGAGCAAACATTTTTAAATCATGTGTGCTCTTTTTACTCAAACAAATAAACAAACATGTCCTTGTTTATCTGTCTCACTCAAAAATACACATTTGTTCTTGGTATGATATGCCTTTTTCCAATACATTGTGTCATCATTGCTAATATCAATAAGTTTTCAACATATATTTCATACATGCAAGATTCATTTAGAAGCAAAATACACCTTTATTGATCTGTGTATCTCTTGGTGCAAATTTGTTCTTTGTGGGCATGATTTTACCTTTTCCCAGTATGTTTTGTCATCACTGTTATGTACGAGTACTGTTTGTCATAATTAGAAACATAATTGTGATCGTCCACTGTCTTTGATATGACCTGATATCTGTTTCAAAGCAAAAGAAACCTCTCCTGTTTTTTTTTAATTCTTAAAGTGCGCATTTCTCTCTGGAGGCATGACTTTGTCTTTTCCTGTACATTGTGTCATCATTGTTACATACAAGTCATGTTTGTCATCACTGTCATGTACAAGTCAGCTCCATTGACTTTGTGCTTTTGCCTCATATTAGTTTAAAAATTGTCTTACACATGTGTTTTTCTGGTACTGAGGCCTTGATAACTGTATTTGTACAGCCTTTCATTATTGTGATGTGTTGTCAATGATAATGTCCTATGTATTTCCTTTCTTGTACACAACAATGATGACATGTTCTGAGCACTGCGTCATTGTTACAAAGCTTGTCATTTATATTACCATTATGAATGGAGTTCATAGTGTACAAAGTCTTTGTTTACTAAACAAAGGGAATTTAAAGTCCATAATTTGCCTTGCTGCTTATCTGTTTTTGTCATCACTGTTACACACAAGAAATACAGTGGTTGCAAAACCAATAGACCCATATCTCCAAAACCTTACATCTCCTTGCTCTGATACTCTAGGAATAGGAGCTCTAAATGTCAATCTGTGACTGACAGAAAAGGGAGTCAAATTGGTAAGAACATTTTTTTTGCACCACTGAGTCTCAAGAGAGTCTCACGTTTTGGCAATTGCTCATATACTATGTTTCGGTGAATACATCAAACAAAGTTTGGCTTGTCACTCATTCATAATGAAACACTGGGCAGTCACAAGTTCCCCTTTTCAAATCATTTGCTATCATCCTCATTTTTGTTATAAATATTATAATTGGTAACACTTGTAACACTTTAAACACTGACACAGACAATGGTACACTTCTACGATTTCAACTTGGTCTTGGTGATATATATATATTCATTAAATAGAATTTTACAAACATGGAAAAACAAAACTCTCACTACAACAAACTACAAAACTATTTCTCAGTTCATTTTTGAGATATTAATTACATTTTTTTAAGATATGAGAAACCCTGGAAATGAAAGTTCTGCTTTTCCCAAAACAACTGAATCAGATACAATTTTTTTTATCAAAACATTTTGAAATAATGACCCAGTTGTGAGTTCTTTTGACTGGTCTCAAAACAGGAGACTCAAAATAAATATTTTTGGTTCGATACGAGCCACAAGCTACCAGCCGAAACTAGTTTATATACCACTGTTTTAGGACTCAGCTTGAGTTGAGCAATACTATTAAAACTGTAAACGCTGAGACAATTGTGTACTCTAAATGGAAAATTAATTTTCACTTTTAAAAATTCAGTCCTCAGCACTAATAACATTCTAGACCAAGTAAAATATAGTAGAAAACATTCACACAACAGAAGTGCTCCTGAACTTGAAGGATTAAAAAAAAAGAACTTTAGTAATGTTTAGAAGTAATAATAATAATAATTTTTTTTTTGGGGGGGGGGGGGGGGGGGGGGGGGGGTACAAGAACAGTCTGAGAACTAAAATAGCCAGTAAAAACAAAGATCAGTACCATAATAAGACAGGTTTCACAAGGGATAAGCAAATGTCGGAGAACTCTTGTAAACTATTCTCCTTTTCCCCGTTTACTGTTACTATTACAAGCTTGCCAACATTTTCAAAACCCAAACAGGGACACCAACCTTTATAACATCAGAATATGTAACAATTAACAAAATTACATAAAGTGGGACTAGTATTGGTGTAGTGTGTTTATGATGAGGCTCTGAAGTTTCTGACTGCTGAATCCAGGGCAGTGTCACAGTCCGTGGGAATTCAGGACAATTGGTAGGCCTGCTAAAGATAAAACCTACATATTCCATTATTAGTCACATCCCTATGTCAACTTAACATGTAAGAACGTCGGTCTTGCACAATAAAAAGGGTCGAGTCATTCATTAGCACAATATGAGGAACATCATACAACATGGCTAAACAGATACAAATCATAAGTTACTTTAGCAACAAACCTTTCCATTTTGAGGAACAGCTTTCTTCATGATTCGCGCTACATTGGCAATTGGCAAGAAACGATCCTGACAAGAAAAGAAAATTTAGCAAAAGTTAAGACATTATATTGCAAGGGAAACTCAACGCACATCAAAATTCTAAATTAGTAAATCTCTTCTGGTACTTTAACTGGAAGAATCAAAAAGGTTTCACAAGTGTACGGGTGGCTTTCCTATTTTCATCTACCTTCAGTAAAACTAAATGAAGGAAAACCAATTGTGTAATATAAGGTGAGATCTTGTCCATTCCCAGACCACAGTTGAAACATTAGCATCAAAGGACTTAATTTCTAAGACAATTACCTAAGAATGGAAGTTTTTTTCCTCGACCATTTTCACACTCTAAAAGAGGTGACCAAGATCAATACATTACTAAATGTAGCCATGCCTCACCTGCTCCTTCAGTGGCTCATCAGCACCTTTGTCATCTTCAGTTTCAGGAGAACCTAAACCTGCATTTTCTGTGAAAGCAAACAAGACAACACATTTTAAATAGGGTTTTATTTTCAAAAAAAGAAAGAATGGAAAATCTATTTTCATTTAGTGGAGGACAAATGTGTTAGTAGACACACAAGGAAAAACTCACTTGTTAAGTACATAACGGGAGGAATGGACAGAGAGCAGTTCAGCAACACAAATTCCCAGATCACATAAGTGTCACTTCTTTGATACATTAAATGGACAATAAAAAAAAAGAAATCTAGAACGAGTTCGAATATTATTGCATTGGTTCTTCCATTAGCTTTAATGGAGATGAAAATTGCAATTAACAGTAAAACATTTTTTAAAGAAACGCTTTTATCTTAGTTGTTAGTTAGTTCCATGCTAAAATGAAAGCGAAAAACTGACGGTATAAATGAGGACTTACCATCTGAAAAAGGTGTCAAAGACAAAGTGCTTTTTAAAAACATTATTTACTGAATGTTAACACAAAGAAAGCCATCTCACATTACTGACAGAAAGTGTAAGTCATGTCATTCGAAACTATTAAAGCACAAGCAAATTAGCTAAATATGTTTTCATAATGGCAAAAAGAGACTGAATTGAAATGAATTAAATTAATAGGGCCATCATGAAGTCATGAAGAATTAAAAAACCAAAAAAAACAATGGTAATCATTAGAATGGTGGCAGGCCCAAAAAAATCTCACCAGCACCAGCTAACAAAAAACTGTGACATCAGACATGAATAAATCTCCCTTTAAAGTGTAGGCCCTCGGTTGTGATTAAAACTAAATAAAACCAATTTACCAGCATCAACATCATAGGCAGCATAAGACATTCTCGTTGATTCCAAGGGACCATCGTCACTTCCGTCGTGCGAATCATTCATGATGACTCACTGGGAAAAAAAAACAGGTCAAAAAGACTTTCAAGATTTTGAGAGCGCCATTCAAAGTTCCCGCTGGATCTTACTCAACACTAAATCAGTGTACAGCGTCCTTGACACATAGCCTTAAGCTTAACTTCTGATGCGGTAGAAAAACCCAAGTTGAATATATGAAAAGTTCACCTAGAGCAGTACAGTGGAACTTGGATTCAACGAGAGGAGATAGATCTAGATTCCCCCTTTCTTTTCTTCTTTAAAATCAATAAAAATAACCCGGATTCAACAAGCACTTAAATCAGCGAGCTCGGATTCAACGAGGTCGCTTCCAGGGTGAACAGCCCCCGCAGACGTGGCTTCGCTCATTCTTCTTCCACAACGAACTTTATCTATTCCCGGAAACCATCCATTGCACCTGCATCGTGAATCATATCACTTAGCCAATTGCATGCGACCAATCAACGGCCTTTTTTCATAAAAACACATGTGTTGTTGGCACGCCCACGTGTCGACTGTGGCGTGTGTCGGGGTCGGATGGGCGGCCTGCACACGTGTGGCTGTGAGTGAGTGTCGGGGGGGTGGGGGGTGGGGGAGCACTAGTTGTCTGGGCGTTGAACGTCGCAGATACAAACATGTCACAGTCTTCTTTCCCCTCAGCAACTGATCATTTTATAACATGTACATTGATAAGCTAGTCTTGACGTAGATCTACGTATTGACTGTGCTGGCCTATGGAATCAAAAGTTGCCGTGTGCTAGGCTCTACACAGCAACACAACTTTTGGGTAAACAATCGAAATGACACTCTAAGCGTGTGCATTTTATTGAACGAATTCTTTTTTTTACACAGCTTATAATATGCAGGCATTTCAGGCACTACTTGTGACTTCTCTTTATACATTACTTGCTCGGTGCCTGTAATTATCTACACAAAACCTCATGTTTGCTATAACGAACACTCGGATTCAACTAGTTTTTGGTCAGGCCCGGCGACCTTGTTGAATCCGAGTTCCACTGTACATAATGTAATTAGTTGCTTCTCGCTTTTCCCCTTCGCATGGCAATCGTGCTTATAGACACGTCTATGAGTCAAGACAGGTCACAATTTGTCTCTGTAGTCTCTATACCAGTCTAGACTTGTCAAGATGACAATCAGTGCTTTCAGTTATTCGGCCAACTCCGCTGTGCAGCCGACTTCATGCTCGTCCCAAGGTAGGTGGTATAAACGGAGTTTGACTGTATGTCAGTGGAATAATTTTTAAAATAATGTCAAGGGAACGGTGAAAGCACATCCATCCAACCCTTTTAGCTCTATGATAATTTGTTTCCGACCTTCTTTAACACCAATGAGACCTGCCTCACACTTGACTTTCAGATGCCCAGGACCAGAGTTGCCACTCACTTGCTGACTATGCCTCTGTAACTCTATTGACTAGTAACTCAGCCCTTAGTTTTTTAAGCTATACTACAGACAAGAAACTTCAGCAAACTGTTTAAAGCCTACTCTTATTATCAATTTTAGACTATCAAGGAAACTTGATCGAGCGCAACTTGCACACAGGACCTCTGAGATTTTTCGTCCTTGATCTAGAAGGCTAGAAGTGTAGATCTTTCCTACCAGAAGATCAGGGGTGTGGCTGCAAGACAGCAGTAAGGAGGAGTCACGGAGTAGCAGTAGAAAGGCAGCAGAAAGAGTCAGGAGCCCAGAGGAGGGGCAGAAAGAGGATACGAAAGCAGACGACAGAACATTGCGAGAGAGCAGGAAAGGAGGTGAAAGGAAACAATTTTAGAGAAGAGAATTTTTCTGTCGCAAACCGGATTCAAACACGAGACCTTTGATTTTGAATGAGAGGCAAATGGACAGGCTTTCAGATGATACCACAATAACTTTATATGCCCAATAATTAAAGAGCCGCTTTGAACACCTCTGATTCCACCACGTTGTGACACATATATCGCCTAGATCTAGAATCTAATCTTACGACAGGTTGGAAAAATTGAGACGAAAATCTATGGTCCTTAAAAAACTCAAATTCAAATCAAAGTCTCTGGCATGCTTCGAATAGATGTGAATGGGTCTACAGATAGTCAGTAGTAGCACATTGTATGCTTATATTTCGGCAGTTGAGTGAGCTGCTGATTACACTGTCACTCACTTGTTAGGTAGGGCTGGGTTCAGTTGGGTTATATGGATAGATATCTAGATAGATCTTTAATAACTAATAAAGTGGAGTCCACTTATAACGAGAAGTCTGTTATAAAGACACTGTTCAAAAACCCTGTTTTTTTCCTTCTTTATCTTTGTAAATAAAATATAGCGCAACCAGACAACAAGCAAGTCGGTTATAGCAGAATATATTGCTGCTGCTGTGCACAGTGCAGGCCAATTCATAAAATGTAAAACCTCGCCAGTTGAGAAACTTGCTGGTGATCTAGGAAAACAAAGAATGGGAGAACCCACGTGTGCCTTCAAAGAAGGCTGGAGTGAATGAGTGAGGAGGTAGGCCTATAAATGGCATGCACAGACAAGCTGGCCGCATCGCGTTATTGGCCAGCCTAGTCTAGATTATCTAGGCCTAGGCCTACCATGCCTCTCACTTCTCTGATGCGAGAATTGAGGGGTCACGGTGCTGTGATGGGATGGAGTGAATGTGTGACATGCGCAAGCAGACGCAACGCACCACAGGAAGCGGTGGGGTGGGGGACAACACAGCGGGCGAGTTAGCCCCTAGAGTCCTTTCTTTCTGATCGTTAACGCCGAGCTAGCGTTAGAGAGAAAGAAACCTGATTCGATTTTTGATCAAATAAGACCCTAAGGTCGAGTTGAACAAAATTATCATCAGGGGAGATAACGAAAAGAAATAGAACACCAGACTCATAGATTAGGCCTACATTATTATTTCCCTTGAATTTATTACTGGATCCCTTACAACGAGAATCCTGCTATTTATATATATATAACGGACATTTCGCACCGGTCCCCTCCCTCTCGTTATAACAGGATTCCACTGTAATACAGTCGAACCTGCCTTTACGGAAACCTGTATAAAACAGAAACCTGTCTTAACGGAATCTCCCCGCTCCCCCCTTGATATCCCTCTCTAATTACCTGTACAAAACGGAAACCTGTCCAACGCGGAAACGGAAAGAAAAATCTGTTTCCTTCCCAGGGTTTCACCTGTCTATAGTCTAAGACAGAAAATGGTTTGCCCTGATTTGAAACAAAACTCGCAAGTTTGGTTCCGCCGGCTCTAAACTTAACACCATGGCCATGCCGCTGGGCGAGGAAAGAGAGTGGGGGTGCAATTTGGGGGTAGATGTTGCCCCATCATGTGAGCCCTGAGCGATGCAGATGGTCAGGGTGGTGTGAGTGTGAAATCTCACGACAGCCCGAGAGAGTACTTGAGTAGCGAGCCACTACAACACTACGGAAACTTTTCTGGGTAACCAGAAGCCAGAGGTGTGAAATTAGATTGACCAATGCTTTCTGCACTGATCGTACCGTCAGCCAAGAAAAGAGTTTCTCGAATCGTTGTTACACGATGGCAGTGAGGGGTGGCATTTTTTTATTGCTTGTTACACCGATCGGTGGGGCTAAGGGTGGAAGCAAAGGAGATGTTCTAACGTTTCTGTTTTTAATAGGTCAAACAGTGGTCCAATGAAAGGCAAGCACTGGTGGTAATTGGATAAAAGACTGCATGTCATTACAGACAGGATAGCAATTATGAGAGGTGTGAAGATTTGACCTCTGCTTGCCGATCAGACTGCGATCCTTGATCCCACCGGCTGGCCCTTTGAACGCCCCCCCCCCCCCAAATCTCCCTCTAAATTTCCATGCCTAAGACGGAATTTTTTTCCGTCTCCCTAGCGATTCCGTCTTACACAGGTTCGACTTTTTTTATAATAGGAAGTGGCTATTCTCACCATTTGTTTTGCCCGGAAGTTCTCACGCTACTCCTCTCTCTCTCTCTCTTTCTCTCCACTGCCCACAGACAAAATTGTACGCTTTTAGTAGGTTAATAATGGAACGTTTGTTCACGGCACAGAATTCTACATTTTTTCTGTTATCACAGTGTAGAATTACGTGGTTTAGGGTGAACGCAAAATTGGTTGGCCTAGATCTAGACGGTGAACGCGCACCGGGCGAGAATAGCCAAAAGACTCGCCTGAATAGAGGTGGCCTCTATAATGAATGAATGGCAAAAAACTGCCAATGAATGGAATTTACTAAAACTTCCACCATTTTTTAAAGATCTAGATTCTAGATCTAGATAGCTTGTTCTCTATAATTTAAGTAATTTTAGATCTAGATTCTCTTCCTTTTCTATGAGAGTATTTGACAGATCTATACTTTGATAACTTTGGTACCATACTCCATACATTTGTGCTTTGTACAAAGTAGCGCAATGAAACTAGGTCACTCACTCGTCAAAGTACAACAACAAGCCCACTGATGGATCCATGCCTGGGCAGAATTCTACTGAGTACCGAGTGACACTTCTTGTCTAGACAGTTATGATTGACAGGCATAAGAACATGATTCAAGTGAAAAGGGACTGATCTTGAGTCGGAAAGACACATTATTGTAGCTTTTTGACATCGCGAAGCATGGGCATAAGGTCAGTTTGACACAGTTGAGTTGGCTCAACAGAGTCGCTGAAGAGTACAGAGTCAAAGAGGGAACGAAAATGGCGGACAACTGAGGACGTGGACTGGGTTTGGCAAGAAAGTTATTTGAGTCCTAAGAATAAAATATAAGATAAAAGTAAACGTTATTGTTGACAGCAAGTTGAAGAGCTTGCACGTGTAATTCATTGGCTGGGTGGATAATAACAACAAACCTCAGTGATTGAGTAGATTTGGGGAAATTGGTTGGTCAATCAGGAACCAGTGAAAATGCAGCAACTTCAGCCGTGTGTCATCAACTTCGCTCTTTCAGTAAACTGACATACTGAATTTACATGAAATTGTTTAGTATTTTTTACAGCAAAAAAGATTTAGTAACGATATCTGTATAGTATTGCACGCTTAAAAGTATTTATGTAATTGTTAATAAAACAGCTTGATGACAGAAACCCAATTCTGCAAAAGGATTACAATGGAAATTCTTCTTTTTACACGGGAGGTGTAAAGATAATAGAACAGCAGTATGACCTAGTTCTGAGTTCTGAACTCTTGAGTTATTCTCAGGAAAGGGTGAATAACAAGTAAATAAATATGAGCGTCTAAAACTAAAATAATCGTATGTCGTCAATTTCCACAAAGGCCTAGGCTAACAATTTAATGTCATCAATGTGATTTCTTCTTAGTAGATATTGATCTACTCAATAATATTTGCAGTTGTGGTATTTTGATATCGCTAATTTCATATGGCACGCAGCTGATTTCAACAAAAGGCTGAAAACACAATAATGACAATAATTTAAATAGTTTCATTATAGCCCCCCCTCCACCCCCCCCCCGGCACACGCACAAAAAAGCAATTCAATTAAAGAATACATTCATTTCAAAATAAAAACAAAATGTAAGTGGGAGCAAAAGGATGCTTCAATATATGCATAGGATCAAAAGGATGGCGCATTTGGATAGTAGATGGAGTGTTTTCATTTTAAACAGATGCTCAGAAATGTGGAAAAACCTTTCAAACATAACAAATGAGAAAAAAAAGAGGTAAAAAATAAAATAACGGATTGCCAAATCTAAAATAAAAAATATACAAGTACAAGTTATCAGAAAGAAAATGAAACAAGGAAAGGTTGCATTTTAATCAGCTGAACAGATTGTCCCTTCGGAATAACTTATTAATAGACCCTGAAATGTGAACAGCGAGGAAAAAAATATATAGGCTATCATGTCAAATGACAACGCCGCAGATTCAAAAGAGACCTACATGTATATTATTGATAGATACTCACATTAAATGTTTTGACGGAAAATAAAAATAAAAGGTTATATCGTTGAATGTACCCTAAAGAAAACATGACAATTATAATATAGGCTTAATATAGGCCTACGTGTAAAAAAAACAACCAACCAAACAAACAAACAAACCCCCCC